CTCCGCCCTCCGCTCCAGTGGGCGCGTTCCCCAGCCCTTGGGTCCTGCCCCGGGAGCGGGCGGGGGCTGCTGAGGGGCAAGGGGAAGGTGTCACCGCTGGGCTTACCTCTGCATCGTCTCCTTCGTAAGGTGCTGAGGCACGAGGAGTTCGAGGAGGGCTGCAAAGCCGCCTGCAACGGGTGAGTGGGGCTGTGCGCCCTCCCGGGCCTTGGTTCTTCATAAACCACCCACTGTTAGTGTATCATTAAAACAGGGTCGTTTTGGTTTGACTTTCTGAAGCACTTCCCTTGGAATCAGCAGTTCCCCTTTCTATGTGGGTGTGATGTTTGTATCAAAGCACAAGTATTGTTCTATTTCGCCTGTAGGCTGATACTGAACTGTATATATATTTATTTTTTTTATCTAAACTTCCCTGGGATTGCCTTCAGTTATGTTGTTTTTTTGCAGACATGGGGCTGTCGGGGGTGTTGAGTTAAAAATCCCTCCTGGTGGCCCCAGAGGCTTTTGTCTTTTTCTGTGAATTAAAGAAATCTCCCAATCTGGTGCCTAACCACTTTTCCTACTTCACAAGAATGAAGTGCGTGTATTATTCCAGCTAACAAGTAACTTACACTCTTAAAACATGAGCTGTTTTAAGCATTAGTTTTTGTCCCACAGTTGTGGTTGGCAGCCTAAAGTCAAAGCTATTGACCATGAGCTGAGCTGCAGCAAGAAACCTTCACAGTTGTCAGCTCTGCTTGCTGGAGGTTACTGGGTTACCTGGGCCATTTGCTGCTCCACAAATGCAATTCTTCCTTGAAACGCTGATATTTGCAGTTCTTGATGTTTGTTTCTAATACTCATGGCAATTAAATATGGATGTTCCAGCCCTTATGATGGAAAATGGAGCAAAACGATGGTGGGCTACGGGCCAGAAGACAATCACTTTGTTGCAGAGTTAACTTACAATTACGGGATTGGAGAATATTGCCTGGGCAATGACTTTCTGGTAAGTGCCACACTTAGCAGCAAAATCTTTCTCCTTATGATAAGCTTTTTGATTTTTATGATTAGGAGTCTGCCTGGTATGTAAGTAGTACCAGTTGATTTTTTTAATGCTATTTAGTCCCTTAAATACTTCTTGTTCTTGCTTTTGTAGTTGTCTGAAACCTGGAAGAGCAGAAACTAGGGCAGCTTTATGTTTGCTTAGGATCCAGGAAATGCTTCCTTGAGCACCTTCCAGCTCAGTTGTTGTGTGCGTAGGGCAGCTGGTATTTGCTGACAGATCCAGTGTGGGAGGGTTAGCTAAGGAGGATCTTGCTGTAGGAGAACACTTTTTATTTATTTTCACTTATTTTTTTGTTATTTACTAGCTCACAGCTGATAAAGATCTCATGTTTTTTCTACGAATGCATGTAATGTGTTTGCTTGTTGCTTGCCCTGAGCTCATATTCTTCCCCCAGTTTGTGGGGTGTCAGGGAACAAGCACCTGCAGCTGCAGATGTCTACTGACCACGGTAGAAGGTAGAAATTTGATTTTCTGCTTCTGTGCAATCCATCAAAGCAGAGTTTTAAATTCCTTTTGTTTTTTAGTTCCCTTTTATGTGAAAGAGGGGTAAATTAATACATTCCAAATATACCTGGGATGCGCAGTAAGGTTAAGCTTATTTTATAGGAGCAAGGTACCTGACTGTCAGGAGATCAGATGGTCCATCTGTTATAAAAAGTTATATAAAAAGTAATTTTTCTGGCCATTTGCAGAGGCAGACTGTTGAAAGGCAGGGCTTGGGCACCGACTGCCCTGTGAATGTTATGTCTGTCTGTTCTCTTCTCACCAGGGCATAACGCTTGTGTCCAGCCAGGCTGTGAGCAATGCTAAGAAGATGGGGTGGCCCCTCAAAGAAGTCACAGCTGGCATTTTTGAGGCTGAAGCCCCAGGGGGGTACAAGTTCTACTTGGAAGACAAGGAACAGCTCAAGCAAGGTGAAACGTGCACGCTTGCTCTTACTGCTGTTCAGGAGAGATTTATGAGTGAGATATTGGAATGGACTGTGCCTTTGTCTCGATGGCATTTTATGAGATAGAGCATGTTTTTGTTATTTCTTTGTTACTTTCCTTCAACTGAGTTTAAAGCTACAATCTATTTGTAGCTAATTCCAGGTTATTGCAATATTACAGATCCTGTGCTAAAGGTAACCTTGGGTGTCTCTGATCTGCAGAAGTCTGTTAACTACTGGTCTGATTTGCTCGGGATGAAAATATATGAGAAGGATGAGGAGAAGCAAAGGGCTTTGTTAGGCTATGCTGATAACCAGGTTAGTCCTTGGAAAGCTTTCCAGCTCTGAGGTTCAAGAGCTGCCTCTTATCGTAGAAACCTCTCGTTGCATGAGAACAAAATATTAAAGGAGCTGGGGGGGAAGCTCTTAAAGCAACTTTGCACTTAATTCTGTGCATTTTAATTAAAGCTTGCATACACTTAACTGTGTATTTTTTAAAAAAAACTGTGGTTTGCTTTGGTAATTCTGCCTTCTTGGGAAATACATGTATGGGTGATTTTGAAATCATCTGCCTCAGTGAAAAGCTGGAGCAACTGTAGCACTGAGAGTGGTGTCCTTGCAAGTCAGGCTCGCTTTTTCCCCCTCTTTCAGTGCAAGCTGGAGTTGAAGACTGTTGGAGGAGCAGTGGATCACGGGACAGCGTTTGGGCGGATCGCCTTCTCCTGCGCAAAGGAAGAGGTGATGGTCACATTTTCCTTACCCCTTTCCTTACCCAGAGCTGAGCAGTGGGAGGTTAATTTCTTGTATTAGCAAATTACCTCAGATGTGACCAGAACACTGCTGAGCAGACACCTTGTTTGTATTTCTGGCAGTGGGGATGCAGTGGAGCTGTGGGTAATGGGGAACTGAAAGAGAAGCTTTCCAGCTGAGGGAGCTGGGTCTCTTTAGTTTG